TAGTATCTTCAACCAAGTCCAATTGCCCTTGATTTTAACCTTCTTTGGATAACTATGACCTGGATGACTGAGAACCTTCAAAGACAATGTGATTAGTTTGTGTGATGAACCTACAAAGACATATCATTTGAATGTAGAGCTCCTCCTTTATGAAGCTTTATATTGATTTTCATGTCATTGTTTAGCTGTCCACTCTTAACTTTCTCTCTGTCTTTTTCTGTTGTTCTTGATTCTACACAGGTGAAAGAGGATTGGAAGTATGTCGCCATGGTGATTGACCGCATCTTCCTGTGGATGTTCATTATTGTGTGCCTGCTTGGGACCATAGGCCTCTTCCTACCCCCTTGGCTAGCTGGCATGATCTAGCCTTTTTGAGAAAGAGTAAAAAATCCATAATCACCAATAGTTAGTAATGTATGACATTCAAAATGTAGCTGAACTCTACTTTTTGACTGGGAATGTGACTCAAGTTTGTGTGACTTGCTACGTTAGTGGCCTCATGAGGCTAACGCTCTTTACACAACACCAAACAAAAGGGTTTATCCTCTGTACAGCAGTCAGTTTAGGATGTCTTAGACTCAGCTTGCCAGGCTCAGCTGTACAGTCTTGGCTCAACTTTCATCTGTCCAAGCTGCATTTTGTCGGCCGTAGTTCCTCAACCTCACCTGTAATATTATTTAGGCTGTGTTTGACCCGAATGCTAACATTAGCATGTTAACGTACCCAAGAGTTAGCCATTTTTAACTTAAAGCTAGAGTGCTGAACTATTCGCAGTATACCTGTGTTTAAATCTAGTGTCTGTGGCCACGTTCCCGCACTGGCACACAGGTAGTGATGTGATTTATGCCAGCCAGCAATGATTGGTTTGCCTGAAGGGGGAGCAACCATAGCGACAGCAGCAACTCAGTATGGCAGAGCCTATACGTCATAAGCACGTGTCAGCAGTCTATATAATTACATTCACTGTCAGAAGAGGGAGACAAATGTTTCGCGCTGCAAGTTTAAGTTAATCAATTGTTGGATGTTGACATGGTAATGTTTAGCACGTAAGATTTGCCATGTTAGCGTGTCAATGTTAATATGCCAATGTTTAGTAGTAGTTATAGTTGTCTCATTAGCATGTTAGTTAGTGTAACATGCTACTTAAAAAGTGTGGTGGCAGCATCAGTGTTGGGTAAGGTGTAACATAGTAATCTTTATGTCTTAGCTAGGGTGGAATGATCAACATCATTTTGTCTCTGTGCCTTCAGTGGAGAGACTAGTCAAGATCAAGGGGGAACCTCAGAGTCTAAAAAGTGAAGCCAATGTGGAAGTGCCTTAAACCTGCATTCTTTCTAATGACCAGCAGGGGGTGACTCCACTGGTTGCAAAAAGAAGTCTGATTGTATTAAGCTTATGGAAAAAATTGCCCTTACTTCTCACTTGAATTATTACCTCAGTTAACACTTTGATAATGAGCTTATGTTCTTAATTACTAGTTTCAAGTCTTCTTCAATACCGCATGATGAAATTATGTTCCAATTTAGAGAAAAATACACCATAAAGCAGGCTGTGCTTTATTTTGTGATTGCTAGGCTATTACAGATACCTTTCAATCAGGATAGAGGCAAACTTGTTTTGGGGCGCTGTCGTGACATTTTGGTTGCCTGTAAATGTCTTAAATGGTCGGTTGTACTAAAAGACACTCAAAGGAGTTGAGCTGTTAATTTTTAACCAAATTTGTCGTATTTACATGTTTTCTTCTTAACTGTCCAACTAGCTGCTGGTATACCCAGAAACTGTCTGGGTTTTGTTTAAAGTTGTACAGGTTGTAAATAGAGGTCTGTGAGGACTGGACTCTGAGGTCACTGGGGCTAGCTGTTAATGGACAGTAGCTAAATACCTCCAATGCCTATAGGTTGGCTGCACCACAGAGTGTGAGAATATGGCGGCTTTGGAGTTTGTAACACAAGCTGAGCTAAGTAACTAATTACTGCTAGTGTTTAGTTACTAGTGAAGTGAAGTAATTCCATTTTTATTTTCCAATAAGAAATCAGTTTGATTAAATTTTCCACAAAACTTGCCCAACATTGCTCAGCAGCACTAGTCTATAAATTCATGTGATGCTGACAGGAACTCATTCAGCACTTGTGTGGAGAGTGGAAATTTTGATGAATGGTTAGTAATGCTTGATGGGCATGGTAAGGTGATCACCAAAGTCATTAGGATGCATCTTCTGGGGACACTTAATGTAGCAAATTTCACTGCAGTCCATGTCAATGTCATTTAAGATGTCAATGTCATTCAAATGTTGGACTGACACAGTGACTGACAAAAATTACGATGAGAAGCTGGGTTTTTGTCAGAAAAAAAAAATTCAGTCATGAACTTCATTCAATCTAAAATGGGATAGCTGTAAGTTTCTCAACTTTTTTTTTTAGGTTTGACCAACAGCGGCATGCTGTATTAGGAATAAATAGTATTTTTACAGGTTTCTCTTTCTGGCCATGCTGCCATGATTACACTTGAATGACAATATTATGTAATAAATACCCTTATGAAAACCTTTGAATGTCAGTCTACATAGCATTTATTGAGTGGTGTGAAAATTACTTAAGGCCAGCAACAGGTTGAGTCATTCCTGCAGTTCATCGTAATTCAGTTTTACAGCCTCATTATGTTATCCAAAATACAAATGCTACTGCTCATGCTCCTACATCTCTCTATTGTACAGTTTAACTGATGTAAGAGATAATTTAATCTTAACGTTAGTTATTAATGTCACTGTAACATACATAGGTAATCAGTGAGAAACAGTGAGTGATAATATGAAGAACAACCGAGTCTGCTGTATGCTCAAGGACCTCTCGTGGTTGCGGTGATCCACAATTTTTTAAAACCTATTTATGGACTGAGCCTATTATAAAGCTTAAATTTTCATCTTTTCAGCAGTATTTTCCATTAACAATCGCTACGCTAAAAACAAGGCTTACCTATTTCACCTTTTGCAGGCCACATTTTGGCCTTTGTTGTGGCTCAATAACTGACATCCATAGGAAAGTCTGGTCTCTTCTTGAATCGGACAATCTACACATTTATTCCATACTTGGTATGTTATGATCCACTTAAGTTAAGCATGATACGAGATGAATAAAGCCCCGTTTTTGTTATACACCGCCATTTTGACTGTAAGGAAGTTAGAAGTGACAATTGAGGGAGATTTAACTCTTCTTTGTTTGGGAGGGGCGAGGGAGGTAGGGAGGAATTTTATTTTGTGTGGTGTGATACAACAAAATGTTCTAAATAAATAAGTTTGGACTTACTGTCACTATTATTTTCCCTTACTAAGTTTACACAGTCTGCTCATTTACAATACAATTACACTATCCAATGCATCCTAAGGACATCCTAACACTTTATTAAGAACTTTGCATACATCTATATAAGAAAACATACACTATACTATACAAAAAATGTTGTCCCCTTCATTCCACCTCTCTCATGCGTACCCACTGGACACACAGCCTGCCCTTCACTCTCTGTTCCCCACCTACTTGCCCCCAGACACACCTTGTGTTGCTCTGCACTCATAGTGAGTGTACTCTGCTAGTTAAGGATTCCTACCATGTCAGTATATTTATGTACTGTATGCTGAAACACAATGCTATAGTGCTGCAGGGGGGACAAAGTGAAGGCAACAACTGTACGATATAATGCAGACCAATTCAACAGCCAAAAACAATGAGAGGAAATGCAGAACATCTAAGATTTACTATGCTCAACAGCAACAAGAGATATGTTTCAATGAACAGGCATTAATGTATGGTAAATATCATGATATTTATATCAATTGATTTACATGCTAGAATTTCACATTTAATAATAATATAATGGGCATAATGCAAAAATATGTGACTCTTTGAGTACCTTTGATATATATGATAACCCATACCATTGTTGTCTTCATCTCATAATAATTCTAACATATTAAAACTTGAGATACCGTATGTACTGTATATACTGTATGTAAAACACTTTTGAACAGCTGAATGACTGACAAACCTTTTGGTTTTGTCATCTTTACATTTCACTCAGGTTACTACTGACAGGTTTGAAAGAGTGAACGATTTACTTTAATAATCATTACACTATTCTTTCTTTTTCTCTGCGGTAAAACCTATGGTATTTGTCAAAAGACACTATTTTATATCTACAAGGATAATTCAATTTCTGAGCAGATAATTAAATCAATAACTCACCAATCACAAATGAGAACTTTACATTAAATAAAGTAAATAAAGTCTCTCTGAAATGACAGGATCCTAAACATACTGCCAATAGACGATCATCAATTTCTGTATACATGTTATACTACCTTGGTAAGAATATGCATCCACTTTTTTCCGAGTTGTCCATATCCACTGAGTTGAATTTAAGTAGTTTGATCAAAATAAAAATGATTGTGGGCAAATGTTATTTCTGACTGACAGATGTGAGAAAGTCGGATTTAAGCTTGATGTGTAAACTCAATGAAGAGTTTACAGTCCACTATGGGGCCGCTGGTTTGGCTAAGTTGGCCCTGACTCTGGCTTGGTCTACCGCATCCAACATGTTCTTGCTGTCCATAGCCAGAGAGTGTGCTGCAGCCAGCATCTGCTTCTTACACTCTTCCTTCAGAGAGGTGATGGAATTCTGCTGGGCCAGGCGCATTTTGCTGATCAACTCCGCCATGTCTTTGTTCAGCAGCTTCTGAGTGCCCTCGATCTGTGGGGACGGTAAACAAACATGACTTTTTTGGATGGGCACAATTGGCCTTCTTCACAGAAGAGATTACAGTAGAAAAACACGGGTCTAAATAAATAATAATAGACATGGGCACTATCTTTGTGAAGCTTCTAAACATTTTGGTTGAAATTGCTACACGGATGTGTTGAAGCAACTCAACTGCATCACATTATCAGCTGTTTGTGTGATTTTGTCCATGCAGCACATACTGTATGTGATCCTTACATACATTTTGTTGACCCACTGTGCACATGTCAGCTGGTTTTGTTTGAAGTAAGCAAGAAATTAATCAAATTTAATATTTTTTTGTGCCACGTTTTATAAATTGTTTAACACTGTGGCTTTGTAGAAACTGTTCGATTATGCAAGCTATGGATTTTGGGTGCGAGTAAACATTAAATGGCACGGGGTCAATAAAGAAAGGGAGCAAGGCAATTAGAAAACACAGCAAACAAGCTGCAGATAATATACCGTACCTCAGTCCTGACAGACTCGTGTAAGGTGGGCAGTATTTCATCCACACTGCGAATCAGATCTCGTAAAGCCATGCCTACAGACTGTGGAGGGAATTCATCAATTGTTTGACTCAATTTAGACACCTTAAATTTATAAACTGTCTACAGCAGCAACAAACTATAAAATGAAAGTTAAAAATATTTAATTTCTCTCAGTGTACCTGGACTACGGTGATATATTTTTCCGGCTGCACCTCGGTGATGTCATTCTTGAGTTGGACAACAACTTTGACCAGATTCATGACAGAGTTATACACTTTGTCGTCAGAGCGGTCGAGCTCGGCTGTGGGTGCAGGCTGAGTAAGAGGGAATAATGTGTCATTACTTTACACAAAGGATCACTGGACTATTTTAAATGCACGGTAACATCAATTCAACTAAAGGGTAACTTTATTTTCTGAACCTAGAAATCAATGCTATTAAAAATAAATTGTGTTTTCAGTGGTACAAATGCTAACAATACAGAAATGAAGTGAACTACCTGTGCTGTGAGCCGTGGGGGCTTCTCTGGAGCCACTGCAGGGCAGAAAGAGGAACAATAAGACAGACAGAGAAAGAGAAGACAAAAGACAGACAGAAGGACTCAAGAGGAATAATAGTATTCAGAAAATAAACGTGTAATGTGAGTAATGTGAGTTTCCTTTAAGCGCTTACCATTCTTGGCATCAGCTTCAGCGGCCTAAAAAGAATAAAAGATAAATCTCATGAGCACAAGAAAATACAAACAGCCTGTCTGAACTGTCACTGTCAAGATATCCAACAGCTCACAAACACTACAGACAATAATGCTCAAAGGTAATCCTAGTAATCATCAGAGAAATTCATTTCAGACTGAAATGTTATGAGATATAATTTATAATCCTCCAAAGGAAACTTTACAGAAATACAAGAAGGTTAAAGGAAAAGTTCCATGTTTTCACTTACACCATTGTATATCCACAATTTGTGATCACTCAATACCCTGTGATAAAATCTTGCTAATTAGTAGTATCCACTTTCACTAAATGTGCCTCATGTATTTCCCAGAATGCCTTATGATAACCTCAAAGAACAAGTTTTTGCTTGTAGTTATAAGAGTGATAATTGTATTGGATTGTTGCAAATAAATAAAAGTGCATCAATTAATATATTTGTGACTGGAGGACAAGGTAAAACATGTATTTTTTGTACCCTTTTAATTAAGATATTGTATTATTTAAATATATATGTGTATTGATATTATAAATGTTATATTTCTTAATTAAATATATGAAGAAGAGTGATCACACACTGCCATCATTGCACTTCCACAGGATTGATTACCAATTTAAATAATCAAGCTTACTTTACAGTTGCTTTTTGGTAACTGGAAATAAACTTAAAATACTTACACATCATGGTTGACTTCGCAAACTATTATATGTTGTGTGACGTCATGCTGAATTTTGGTCACTACATTTGGTCTGAGCTACATTGCCAAGAGCTGTTTGGCTAACATGTCCCTTTAATCTGGCTCTGAAATCAAAGTTTGCATTTGTACCTACCACAGGGCTGATAGGGTCCTCTGGTGCCATGGGGTCCTGCAAAAGAACAGGCAGGTTCATTTTATAGAATATGGACATGGACACAAAAAATAATAATGTTCTGTTTCCTACCAGGAGTCTTTCCTCCTTCTCTAGCCACTTTTTATCCTCCATCATCTGCTCTTTCTGCTGGCGGAGAGTGTCCTGCATGTTGTGTCTCTCTCTCTGCCACAGGAGCTGGGCGTCCTCTTTGCTGTTTGGTTCCATTCGGAGAAACTCGCCCTCCTACAGCATCAGGGGAAGTATAACAGAAGTATGACTGATTAACAGCACTTCTTCTTTGGTCTCTTAATGCATTCATTTTTTATCTTACATGTAGTGCTTTAGGTTTATGAACGTTTGAACACTTGACTTCAAACGTAAGAAAACTGACAGACATGCACACAGCTGAGTATTTCTTACCCCCACGCTTCGACGCCGAGGGGACCTGATGGGCAACTGAATAGTGTTCATGGAATCGACAGGGGTCTGATATTCACATGGGCTAGCCAGGTCAGGTGAGCTGGCACACAAAGCCTCGTTCAGCTGCACAGATACACACACACATACACACACACAATTAGATAATAGATAATTGTCATCTTGGAGGAAGCAGGTATCTATAGAGGTTACTTAGGTGAACAACTGTACCTGAATGTGTAGACCAACATTGAGCGTGTTCCCAAACCGCGATGGTTTCATTCTCGAAGGCTACAGTAAATATTGAAAAGATGTATTAAAAGTACATGTGTTGCACTTGAATATTGTGCCACTTTGTAACATATAAGAGTGTCTCTTTTATCATACCTTGGGAGGAGGCTCGTGAAAAGTGAGCTTGGCGTCGAACAATTTTGTGGCGCGCGCTCTGTTCCTCTCTCTCTCCACTTCCTCCTCCTTCTCCATCTTGTGGACATCACTGACAGTTTTTAGACAAGAAGTTACATCATGTCATGTCATTACAGAAAGGTAATCGCCATTGATCCAACTTGTGAATGTGTTGTTTCATCATCATAACCAGATGGCTCCCCTATCTTTATTGTCATCCTGTGAAATCCTGTGAGAGTTCATTTTTCCATATTTCATAAAGAAATACCTAATCTTGACCACCAGCTCAGTGAAGTTTGGTCTCTCTCTGGGGTCGTAGGACCAGCAGCGGGTCATGAGTGAGTAGAGGGCAGGAGGGCAGTCATCAGGCTTGGGTAGCCTGATTCCCTGCTCCAGTTGGTTGATCACGTCTCTGTTCTCAAGCCAGAAAAATGGCTGCTGCCCACGGCTCATTATCTCCCACATGCATACAGCTATCGGGCAATGCAAACAGAGAAACACAGAAATGACATTTAAAGGACTTCAGCCTCAATGTAACTGTGCTGGTGTTGTCTTAACTAAATCACTTAATTAAATGTGTAGACTAAAAAAAATTTATAATAAATTTAGTTGATAAAAAAATCTCAAAACCTCATGGAAATAATGTGTTTATTTTATGTATAAAAAATGTCTCCTGGTTCAAAAGCAATACTTTCAGATTGCCACCTTGTTCATGGTAGTTCACTTTTTCTATGCCTTGAAAGTATTGACAGTTTGATTAAGTTCCAGAAAATGTTTTCCTTTAGGGGTGGAAATTCAATTGTCAAGTTGTCACCTTGTATTTTCCAAATACAAGCCAGTATTACATTGGGCATATCAATAATAAGGAACATTAAGCTGGTTATGCCTTGTTTGCTTTCTCTTTCTATTAGGCAAAAATGTGAAGGTGTCTAAACAAAACATCCATCATTTGGGGCCTGACATAAAGAGCTCGATCAAGTCATTTCTACAATTTCATTAAAACATGCACTGACTGTTGAAGATCAACCAGCCACCTGCCTTTTGTCATGTTTGAGGATCAGTGTGCTTTCCTGTCTTGTGCCTGAACCCCCTAAATGTCTTTGCACTGAACTGTTGTACTGTATGTTAGTGTATCACAAGCTCACCAAACATCCACACATCACTAGCTGTGGTGAAGCGTCTGAAGTTGATGGATTCTGGAGCCATCCACTTGATTGGCAGCCGAGTAACAGACGCTGCAAAGAAATGGGAGAGGTTGGTATTTTTCTATCAACATTTTTTCATTTTTGAACAGGAATATAAAGAGGTGTGTTTTATGTTCCCTCTTTACTAGTTCATCTATTTCGACAAGGATACATGTACAATATTTCTTCTGTGCTATTTGGTTTAATCTGACAAAATGCGAAATGAGTCCTAAGAAAAACTAGTGCAACAATGAAATCAGCTTTTATTTTTCTGCCTCTCTGACCTTTGTAGTACTCTTCATCCTCAATGTATCTCGACAGACCGAAGTCTCCGAGCTTCACACAGTCTGGACTGGCGACTAACACGTTCCGAACAGCAATGTCTCTGACAAATAAGATGGAAGGACAGGTTAAGGTTTATGTGGGTACAGATAAAGATGAAAATGTAGATAAAAAGTAACCTGGTGCCGAAATTATCACTTGACTGGTAACATGATGGAGACTGTCTGTCTTGGGCAGAGCAGAGTGTCTTAAATTACCTTAAACTCTTACTGATTGGTCTGAATTTTAAAAATGACTGCAGTGCTGCCACGACCGCAGCAGCAAATAACACAAAAGGAAGGTTTGCATTTTCCACACAGGCTGGAACTAATTTCCTTTTTGTCTGCGTTTTCCCTTCACAGGAGATTGAATCCACGAGTGGCTGCTTTGCTGCCTGAAAACTGTTGATAACATTCTGCAGAAACAACTGAGTGAAGCATTCGCTTTTCTGGCATCTCACATTAACTTTCTGTAATGCTGTGTCTTAGTATACACATTTCAAGTAAAAATAAAAAGGTTTGTTACTGCCACTACCTTATATGACTCCGCTTACATTCAGAAGCTGTTTTGGCCTGTTGTTTTTACATCAGACGATAGGACTGTTAATCTTCCATTTTCCTTTCCATTCCAGTAAATTAAGACTGTGCGATAAAACCCAAGAAATCTGATCAGATCTCAGATATGTCCAATTATTTCAAGAACATACTGTAACTCAGCGTGATCGGCCCAGAACATAACAGACTGTGCCTCTTTTCTTATGACAGTAACAAAGGGCCTAATCAATTATATAAAAGACTATGGCTGGGCATTAATTAATTAACACCAACAATTATTTTATACGCAGGATAAGCTGTTGACGATGGATGGATGGAAGGATGGTTATTTTGAAATCGCAGAAAATCATGCGATTAATCGGGATAAAAAAATTAATCGTTGCCCAGCACTATAAAAGACCTTTTACTCCTACTTAATCAGTTTCAGCGAAGACATGCTGTGCTAGCATTATCCCTTCATACACAATTAGTGTAAGTTAGCTGGTCAGCTGGACTTAGTAGTGCTGTCAAAGTGGCAACTTTGTCATCATCCCAAACAACAATTATATTACACACATGAGGCGTTGGTTTTGTGCATAACGTTTTAGGGGACTCATTAGCTAGTTTTCTAGATTTATGTGGCTAAGTTCACTGAACTTTTTTCTTGTAGAACAATAAGCTTACAACTTGCATATTCACAATATCTAGCCTTCAATTACAGGCTTACTACATATGTAACATACTGTCCATGTTACATACAGATGTTACAATATGGGTCCATCAATTTACAGTTGATTGGAAAAACTGATGTGAGTAATTATTTGATCGTTTCAGGATAAGAAATATAAACGTGCTTATGCTCTGTGTTAGAAAATTTCCCTGAGATAAAAAACAGCATAAACTGTTGTATTTCCACTTCCAGGACAACAACACAACAAATGAAAGGAGCTTCTCACCTGTGTACCACATTGACCCCTGAGAGGTAGACGAGAGCTTTGCAGATCTGCAGGCTGAACAGCACCAGAGTTGTATTTGTCAGTGTTTTCTGGTTCTGACTTAGGTAGTTCCCAAGCTGCAAAAATGTTAGCATTTAATTAAGACAAGCTGCAAGGCAATCATACGTGACTCACGCCAGCACTGTGCAATATTTCAGTGGGCTGTAGTCATATTTTGTGTGAATCCTGTCAAGCAGAGTAATGTTCCCTCAAACTAAAAATACATTAATTACACAGTATGACTGCATTAAAACTGAAAAAAGATTGGCACTAACCTCTCCATACTGATAAAGCTCCATGACAATCCACACTGGATTCTCCTCTGTGATTCCAATAAGTTTGACATGTGCTGGTGATTGAGGTTCTTCATAATTACTGGTAAACACACAACGTTCACATGTTACTGTCACTGTTGTCGCAGTTATTTTATTATTTTCTACACCTTTTCCAAACTACCTGCTTCACTCATGAACTTCTCCATCACGTCAGGTGAACAGTCTTTGCAGGTCTTCACCGCCACGTTAACCTTTTCGCCATTCTGTTAAATCAACACCCAAAAAAGAGACAGCGACAAATATTTCAACGGAAACGAGTACAAGCATTTATGCAAACAGCACATTCTGTACACAGTATGGCCTGTTTGAATCTTGTAGAATGAACCTACTATAGAGCTCAAATGATTAGTCGATTAAGTTATTTGATAAGTTGACGCACAGCAACTGTTTTTATAATTGTTTGAGCCATTTTTCAACAAAACTTTCTCATGTTCCAGGATTTGCTGCTATTGTATGTCTTGTGTGATGGTAAAGCAGTATTTTGGGGGTGTATACTGTTGGTCGGACAAAACAATCTAAAGACCTTAACTTGGGCTTCAGATTAGTGTGGTTTTCACTATTTGTTTTGAGAATTTATAGACCTAACAATAGCGAAAATAATCAGCTGATTAAGACCTACTACCGGTATACATGTAATGCAATTCAACATTCAAACAGCAGTTTGAAAGGTTTAATATTCTGTAACTACATAGTTTTATGCAGCAATTGAGACTCCTGGTAACATAAATATTTCTCTAACAAGCTTCCCACCATTTTAATCTATTATTAGTTTACAGATAGTTTTTGCTGTTAGTATAGATATACTTCAACTAGGAAGATACACTTACGGATTTTTTGTAAACTCCATCGTAGACTTCCCCAAAAAACCCCTCACCAAGGATTCGGCCAAGAACAACGTCACGTCGGTCGATCCCGTACTTAACAACTACAAAGCAAAATCTGAATTAATGAAAGCTCAAAAGTGACTTCCCACAGTGATAATTCTGCAAAAGACTTGAATACAAACTTAGAACAAACCTGATTTTGGCCTTTCATCGTTAATCTCGCAATAGATATCTGAACCTGAAAATAAAAAAGAAAGACAATTTTTTTTTGACCTCACGGCTTCTATCACTATGCTGTTACTTGTTTTTGTAAGATAGTGACATAAAGGTGTAGCTTTTTTTTGGAAATGAACATCCCATGTCTTGCATTACACACAGAGGTAATGTAAAACTATGAAAACTGTCAGCTCACCCATACTGTGTCTGGAAGATCCAGTGTCTGTGCTGCTCCAGAGAAAAGATAGAATGAGAGAAAGCCCCGGTCATAAATTTTTAAATTATTGCTCCTCAGAGCGCTGACAGAATGATCCAATATAACCGCCTTACTCATCAATAACTGTAACTTTTCATTTCATATTACAATAAAAAAAAGAATGAGTACAGCTTGGAGTACACTGAGGCTGGGAGAGAGCACAAATCATTCAAAGTCATAAAACAGCCAAAAGCCCCTCACCTTTTAGGAATCTCAGGTAGGGAACATCTTGCATTGGCATCTAGAACAGAAATTAGTAGCGATAATTTCAGTTTAAATAATAGATTAAAAAGCCTCTTGTGCAGCTTTTTAGGCACCCAACTATGCTCCGTTCCTAAAAACAACATATTCATGCCCTTTATTGCTAGCAATAAACAATAAAATAAAGGGCATGAATATGTGGAGCTTTCACCACTGTGATCCGAACAAGTGACTGAGTCGTACAAACCTCTATTTGGTCGGTAGATAATGGTATCTTCTGTGTCATTTTCCAAGCGGCAGTAACCATCAATAAGGTCCATCATGTTCTCTGCCATAGGGACCGTGGCCACATTGATTGATAGACGCTATCAGAAAGAACAAAAGAGATTATTACAATGTCAGCACATGTACCCGGTCAAATTTCCTGTGCAGACGCTCTCTATAGTGAAGGTACTTGCTAATTTTAGCTATTCTGATTCTGTACAAAGTACTATTGTATAATAAGATTGATAGTGTTATTGTGGTACTTACTTGTTTGGCCCCTTCTATATCGAAGTTCACAAGAGCCTTGCCATCACTCTGAGATAAGCATTGTATTTTCTTGATCTGTTTGAAGTCGGCTAGAAAAACAGCCTGAGCACAAACAAGAGTAATACAATAAGTGAAATTATGATGGGGCTGATTAGATTTGACAAACTGTGTTAGACATACAGTGATGTAGCATCCACTGATGGCTGTTAACAAGGTCAGGAGATATGGTATGTATTGACTTGAAAAATCCAGCATGAATTAATTTATATTATCAGACTTTCAGAATGCAACAGCGGTACTTTCAGAAATTATATAATTAAAGTTATAGTTTGACATTTTGGGAAATATGCTTGTTCGCTTTAGATGTGAAGATGTGAAGAATGATACCACTCTCATGTCTGTAAGATAAATGTGAAGCAGCCAGTTAGCTTAGCTTAGGCTTCACTAACAGGACCGCGCCAAGTTAGAGGTGGTTTATGTGATCATGTTTATGATGAGGGGTCGAGGGAAGGTGGATGAGAAGGTCGTATGTGCTACTGAGAACCTGGGGGTCGAGACTCAGGGTGGAGACTCGTCTCTGTAGAGACTCGCTGTGGAGCAGCTGATGGATCGTCCCCCCGTGGTTCCTTGGAGACTGAAGGAGCTAGATGAGGCCGTATGGAGCCTTTCTCAAGGGATGGGGGGTTTAGAGAACTGAGACAGTGAGAGAGAGTTTGGGCGATCTTATGTATGTGGCGGTGATTGGATTGCAGGTGTGTGTGATGGGACACGGCTGGTTTAATCAGTGAGGGGAAAGAGGGAGGCGTGGTCCTATTCCTGAACCTCAGTTTACATAACTCCATTAAAAACTGAAGGCACAGGGAAACAGCTAGTCTGGCTCTCTCCAAATATAACAAAATCCAGCAGGAAAAAATCTCACTAGGTCACACCCTGTATCTAGTTTTTTTCATCTGTACAAAAACGAAGTGTAAGCATGACATGTTGTGGTTTTACGTGGTGTTGTGTAACACTGACTTTTTCTTGGCCGGAAGTGGTTGTCAGGCAACCAATGAAGACTTCAGGAAGTCACGGTTAATTATTGAGCTTTAGAGGTGCTGGTGAGTGTATTCTGTTTTCAGTCTTTATGCTAAGCTAAGCTAACCAGATGTAGTTTTTACCTTTCAGATAGGGAGTGGTATCAATCTTCTCATTTAACTCTTGGGTAGGAAGCAAATGAGTGTATTTCCCAAAATGTCCAACTATTCATTTAACAAAACTTAACTCAGCAAGATAGATTAGATATACAAAACTACACACTGTAACATCGGATGAAAGCCCTCAAATTGTCAAAGCCCTCTCAAGTAACACCTAAATCTTCACCATGCTTACCGCTGAATTCTTCTGCGTGCGTTGGCGAATTCCCCTTCCACCGATGACCAGCTCCACCGACAGACTCCAGCCTTGCTGTTGACAAGTGAGAGCGGTTAAATGTTTGCGATATTAATGTGAGCAAGAGCAGTGTAAGGTTTGGAGCTCCTGATGTTGATAACCAAGACTATCATAGGATTTAGTGGTAGAGACCTTTTTCGTTGCTCAGTATCATGCTGAACATGTTCCACTCACCACTAGTTCACATGGGAAAACCTCTTCATCAAAATTGCTGAAATCTTTGAGGGTCTCAAAAAACTTGACCATACAGTCGTCCTCCTTGAGTGTTGCGTACTGCTGAAATGTTTGCTGGATCAACTTCCGCAGAGGCTTTGACTGGATCACAAACAGGGAAATTTTGTGTTTTATGTCCACTCTGATGGTCTACCACCCAGTATTAATAAGGAAAATAAATGTGTGGTTGTCTAGAATTTAAAACATTAGTATAGCTCACCTTCATGCTGTTAATCACCTGTTGAGGAAAGAAAAGTTCCAGGCCCACTTCTTTTCTTCATTTGTAAAGCAAATTTCAGAAAAATAGTATGAATGAAATAAAGAAAAAAGCCAGATTATAACATCATATGTTTTAAATGTCATCAAGTTTTTTAGTGAACTAAGAAAATGGTAGTAATGCAAATTATCCGGTGGGGCTTTTTAAAGGGTTTGATTACATTAAGGCTCACTATCTACCCATACAGAGTAATTGTCTGAGTGAAGTTGTGTCACAAAAAATCACAGTTACAAGATTATGGGAAAATAACAACTTACTCTAGCAGCTCAAAGTTAGACTTCTTCTCTAGACCTTTTGAATTCATGTCTTTATAGAACCTCCTGTAAAAAAACAGAGTACAAGGAAACTATCTCAGCAACTAATTCATTCTATACAACCAAATGTCCTTCATCCTAAACAATAAGTTACACTGCCATCGCTAAATGAAAAGTTTTACCAACCAGCAAGAGCAAAAGAATAAGAGGAATGCAGTGACTTACCTGATCTCCAAACAGCCAAGCTGCAGCGCCATCCCATCACTGACCTTACTGGCATGATACTGCATGTAATCATTGCGCACCTGTCGTAGAATGAAACAGAGGAATCAGATATACCACTATAAACTACAGTAATACTGGATTATTACACTACTGTGAAAATTATTTGGATATAGTGCTGGATGATAGGGCCAAAAATGTTATCACGATAACAAATTTTATATCATTCGATATCTATAATTATCACGACAAACCATTATTTCTTTCAAGTTTAAAGGCTGATTTTTGCTCCTCAGCGAAAGCTGAAGAAACCAGAATTAATTTAATTGTGGTCAGAACATGACAAACAGAACAGAACATTCAAAACAATCATGGTTTTAAAAAATATGCATGAGTAAAATTAAGTAAAAATCTTTTTTTCAGTCCCTTTTACTCAGTAAAATAAATATCTTATAAGAAAAAATAAGTGCTGATTTGCATATAATTCAAATGAATTAGATCAATCATTTAATAAACATTTGTTATATTGTTATTGAGGGAAATTATATCGCAATAATTATAATTATTGTTTAATTACCCAGCCCTATTTCTGTTATTTTTTTCCCACTTCCCATGACAGGCTGTTTTTATTTTGATTATACTGCACAGATCATGTACTGCTAAATGCTGAAAGAAGGTGATGGCACATAGTTTATAATAGCTTGATGATTATTCAGCTTTTCTGCAGAATCAAACGGTATCCTGCAGGCCGGTAACAAATATTTTGTGGCCCTGTATGGTTTTGTTTTACAGTAATGAAGGTTTTATATTATTACATGTAAATTTGTTTTAAACAAAAGAAGTGCCACCTGCATAAACAGCAGAATAAATAATTAAATCAAAGACTGAGTACACTGTAGCTTATTACCTGCTGGTAAAAATACACTAGTGTGGACCTGTCATCTTTGAATCTTTCCAGGAAATTGACGGGTATGTATCTGATACGAAGGTCATACCTGCATTGAAAAACAAAACAGATATCAAATGCCATACTTCAGTATCAAAATACCATAGATGTCTTCCAACAGATAGAAACAACATTCAAAACACTCGTTCTACAAGATAAAATCTGATACAACTGTCCTTGTAATCAATCTGTACCTCCACTCAGCCTCCACGTGATGGCTCTCATAGCGTTGTTCCATCTCGCCGACAGTCAGATCTGGATGCAGCCAGTGAAGTTCTTCTGACTTCAGGTGCTTCAGCAGGAGACCGTAGCATCCCGTGTGTTTGATGTTCGGCCCCAGTCGACCGCTGATCAGAATCGAACGAATGATTGCCTGAAGGAGATGGAACGAGATATATTCCCCTAAAAAAATTTATTATGAATTTTTAGCCTTGCTATTTATTGCACTTGGTTGACACCTGCTTCATCTTTACTTGTACAGGCTAACAAATTAGCCTTAAAATTGATGAGAGGAAGTTCTGGAAATAACATGTTAAACTTTTATTTATGCCTGTTGCTGTAAACTCAACAATGAAATAAGATTATTTGTTCACTGATTAAGGATTTATTATCTTTCCGGAACAAGGCCAAAAAAAGCAGATTTCTGTCTCAATTACAAAACACCTCCTCCAACATTGACGGGTCATCTTTGAATTTATAATCTAAACTAACTCAGATAAGATTCCCATCTTTTTACACTCCCCTCCCCATTTTTTTTAGATTACTCTCACCCTGATTTGCCAGGAGCTGTCACATTTAACCAGCTTGAAGTTCTTGCCCAGGTTGTTGTTGGTGCAGAAGCACACTTTGAGGATCTTGACGGGCCCTCCATCCCCAGTGAATTGCAATTCAGGGTTGGGCTCTGGGTCACTTTGTCTTGGAGTGGGCACCTTCCAGGACAGGGTGTCACCGGACATCACCTCATACATTCTCAAGGCTGGGTTGGCACCATCATATCCACACAATCCTTGCGACAAACAAAGGAAAAATACTTAAATTAGAATGTAAAATTAGTAGTGAAACTTCAGGTAACTTGCCTCATCATAGTACTACAGTCATGCTACTCCTCACACTGTTGTGATCTTGTGCCATGTGTCTATGACTCACATCATTTGATTCTGAGATCTGCTGATTACATTCCTTCCTTGATTTCAAGTGTGGGCCTGTGTGATTCATAAAGCAAAATTGTGAGAGCGTGGAGACACATCTAACATCTACATCAACGAGGAAAACTCCTTTAAAATCCATCTTCTCCCTGAGTGCAAATATAACTTAAACTTTAATACATATCTGTTGAAAATGCAATGAAAGTGACAACGAAATGTCGTAAACCAAAGCAACACCAAAATCTACTAAAACAACAGTGAATAACAGAGTGATGATGACTAACCGACCCACGTCCTAGCTCTGGGCCATTATGCAGCTTGTGTTAATCGAGGTGATAAAACCTCCCAATGTAGCAGAGAAGCAGCTCTTCATGTCCTCCTTAAAACAATAGTTTGACATTTTGAGAACCACTCTTACTTGCTTAATTGCAAAGCGTTAGAAGAGAAGACTGATGCCACTCTCACATCTGTCCATTCAATATCCTAGATTAAACCCTACTATACTATACTATTCTATACCATATTACATTTGATATTCTATGTTATATTGTGGCACTATACTAACTAGGCTATAGTATTATGATATACTTTTACATTGCACCTTATACTATATCCTATATCCCATACTATACTATATTGTACTATACTGTACTAGCCAATGCTATACTATATTATACTGTCTTCTTTCTACATTATATACTATATTTCTATTATGATTCTATATTAATACAGACAAGCGTATCATTACTTAATCACATCATATGTTATTCTGGTGTACACTGTTTACATTTATATGAGACTTGCTGCTATTAATTGACACCACTGTCCCTTAACCTTGTCGTTTTTTATTTATTTATTTTTAATTTAATTTAATTTATTGTGTTTTTATTGTATTGTTTTAATTTCCCTATTTATCTGTATTTATTTCTGTCTTTGTGTTGCTGAAACAACTTAATTACCCCCCATGGGGATCAATAAAGACATATCCTATCATAAGATAGAGCCAGGAGGTGGTTAGCTTAGCTTAGCATATAGACTGGAAACAGGGGAAAACAACTAGCCTGGCTCTGTCTCAAGGTAACAATATCTTCCCACCATAACTTCAAAAACTTACAATTAACACGCTGTATCTCCTCTGAGGACTGAAAAACGCACATCTAGTGGCCGTTCACGTACACTGGGCATGCGCGTGCCGGTGTAAACATGAAGCAGATGGTCTACTCTGTAGTTACAGATGATTTGGCAAAAGAATAAAGTGCTAAAGACGAAGAACCACACCAGATTTTATTTTGCATGGACCAGTAACAGGCTGTGACTGCGGCTGTTGCAAAGTAAATACGGGAACAAGTGTAGGCTAGGAAGTGTTATTTGCAAGTACAAAATATTATAATAAAAATACCAAATCAAAAACTCTGTCAGTAGCGTCGTCTTTCTACGTAGCATGACTTTTGAGACCCAGTCAGAGAGCCAAACAACATTTTTGCCTGTCCGCACTGAAACGCTCTCCAGAGTTTTAAAATGAAAAACGGGGTCGACAGCATTTTCAAACTTCTCCGTTTTAGGTCTTCGTTTTCGCTGTTTTAGTCTGTATGGGAGGTGCAAACCTAGCAAAAGTTCTCCGTTTTCCAACAAAAACGCAGTAGTGTGGATGGGGCCTCAAACACATTAATCCTTTAAACAAACAAGACACAGCCTGTTAGCTAGAAAGCTTTAGAGGTGCTAGTAGAGGAATGTTGTTACCTTTGGAGTGAGCCAGGCAAGCTGTTTAGCAATGCTAACCGGCTGCTGGTGACAGCTTATTTACAATACAGACATGAGAAGTCTTGGGAGAAAGCGAATAAGAGCATTTCCCAAAATGTCAAACTATTCCTTTAAGGCACGAATACCTCATAAAACATACAGCCAAGCAACAGGAGATTCTTCTCCAACCACCTAGCTTTAAACAAACACGGGGATGGTTACTGAAGATCGTAAAAACCTTAGCGCACAGCCACAATCACAGACAACCAAAATCTTTTCTTTCTTTTTTAGGTCAGACTTTCAAAAAAAAAAAAAAAAAAAAAAAAAATCAGGACAATACGCCTGTCTTCGCCGTAAGAACCCAAAACATCATTCTGACTCTCCACTCCTCACATTAATGTTCTGCCCTGTCAATCAAACAATCTGAGCGCAAGTTGACTCAGCAAACACAGATAAATACTTAAGAACAACCTTGACAACACACCTCACTATGAGGTCGAGATTTCAGCCGGTTACCCACCTCACAATAGCATCTGTCAGAAAAGTGCCTCTGGCTGTCAGAACGTGTTCTCTCATAAATAAAGCTCCATGCTGTTAGTCGGCTGTGAGGGAGCTGAGCTGTGTTAGTTTCTCTCAGGGTTTTCCGCTGCTGTTGGACGGGATCGTGTTTTGTTAGCCTGAGGCCATGAATTCCCCAGCAGGGCCGTGTGGGTGTGTTTGTGTGTAAACGTGTGTGCGTGTGTAGTGAAAAAGCGAGGAAGAGGAAGAGAGAGACAAGATCAGCATGCAGCACGGCCAGCATGTTGCACCATCACCTGGCTATGGGAGGCCTGACAAGAGGGAACTGAGGAGGTAGAGGCTGAAGGTTAAGATTACTTCTAAGAAGAAAAAAGGCATCCATGGTTTAAAGTATGCGGGGCTATACACACATGCCTTGCCTCACACAGAAGAAACAATGAGTAATCATAGTGACATATATATTTATACACACTTACACACACATTACAGATGGCTACAAATGCTCAGATAATATTGCTGTGACAAAATATTTCAGGTTTCACATCTATAGGAGAAATGTGGAATGACAGAAAAAATAATGGAGACTATCAATAAATGGCTTATTAGATAGATAAAAAAGTAAAGTGTTTCTAGCTGAAATTTTCAACTATGTCAAACAACACCAGCGACAAATTGCATAAATCGGAAAGGTTGCTGTGAAGATCAGGATATGTTTTCTCTGTCAGTGTTCCCTGTGAGATCTAGTCTAGTTCAGGTAACATGTTTGTGAGACTTCATTTTTGTCTAGGTTTAGTCTTTAACACTTTAACACTAAAAACTCAAAACAATGAGGCATAGATACAGAAGTGGGGCCACCATGCACGATACCAAACCCTGGGACTGGCCTACATGGAATTCATTAATGTTTCTGGGTTTGTTTGTTTTTTTAACTTTATTTATTTAGGGATGTTTCACTTTTCTTATAATTGTATAGAACTAGCACTCTACCAGTTCATTTGTAAGCAGGGCAGTCTTCTCAAGCAGACAGAACACTCACAAAAAGTAAACAAATATTATGCACAAAACAATATAATGCAAAAAAAGCCCCTGATTAAAAAGTTTTGTTTTTGTTTTTAACAGCTCTCTAGTGTTTTTAAGTGAACAAAAGCGACACTTTCCAAGCTCGCAGTGTTGTTGCCTCTCTCACACACTGTCATGCTGGCACTTGACTTGTTGTGCTAACAACTGTTCCTGAGGGAGATTTTTTTATCACAAACTGAGACCGAGGTAGAGTGAACTAACAACTAACAACACTACAACAAACTGAAAATATTCATTAGTCTAGAGTTATTCCTGCACATCACTACTGCCGTTCTTCCATTTCAGAACTGTTGTATCCAAATTAGAAATGTACAGTATCTACTGGGGAGATGAGATGGTGAATGACAGGGACTGATTCAGGCCAACAGATTGTGACAAATGAGAATGAAATTCCACAGCAACCAGTGGAAAAGCAACTAACTTCAACAAGGCTGCACTTGAGAGAAAGAGGAGGCTGGACAGAAAAGGCTAGAGTCATTTTGCAATAGAGAATGTCTTAAAGTAATAAGTCTCACCGCACACATTGGGGGAAATGTTAACCACACTGTAAACCTGGTCAGCGCTACTTCTTTTGTTTGCTTGTCATGTGGGCATGACCTCTTTTCTGAAAACTAACTTGTTCCTTTATTTGGCTTCTTTCACAGTTCAACAGCCTTTTAAAGGAGCAGTGTGCAGGATTCAGCGGCATCCAGCGGTGAGGTTGCAGATTGCAAAAAACTGAAAATCCCTCGGCTCACACTCCCTTTCCAAGCGTGAGCAGAACTTAAAAGTGGCCACGAATCTCACGAAAGACACGAAAGGACCTCTCTAGAGCCAGTGTTTAGTTGTCCGTTCTGGGCTACTGTAGAGCCTGACCAATACTAAAGCACAGCTGACTGTGTCAGCCAGTTGCTATGTTTTGTGCTAGATTTGTGGTTCCATATGCTGTGTTGCCAACAGGGGAGTTGCAGCGTGCCCTCTGGTGGACAAAATGTGCAATCACAACACTCATAACGTGATTGATGGATCCCTCTTTATATTTACTTTTAAATTGTCATTTACCTGCTGTTATGAACACCGATAACAATTTACCTGCAAATAACTGAAATTGGTCAATAATATCGGCACATCAACATACTGATCTGTCTCTAGTACAGTCAAGTCTAACATGGCAGTGCAACATGGCGGTCTCTGTGAAAGATGACCTGCTCCCTCTGTAGTTATTAAGGGCTTATTCTAAAGTAATGAAAACACAACAATTGTTATTTCAGGTGATTATATGCTAATGAAAACATACTAATGTATAATATATTTAATTTCTGCCATATTCTGCCAATAAATTCTCCAAATGGTACACACTGTTCCTTTAAATTATGACAATTTGATTAAGTTCAACTGTGAATTCAATATGCAAACCAGTGCCCAAATAAATGGTTGTTCATATACTTGCTGCCAGGCCTTTATTGCTACTTAAGGCAATGCAGCTAATTATATTCAGTCCATTCAGGGAGTTCCTACTGATTTTTTTTAACTCCCAAAATATCATTATCGGCCTCAAAAGTCCAGTAGCAGTCATGCTCTAGTTCCTACACATGTTCAACCTTTGACAGTCTCTCTGCTGTCTGTCTAACTAAACTGCACAGTGGCGCAATGGAAAACACACTGCCAGAATCTGTCATGACATGCTGAGATGCTCCTGACTGTATTAAGATCCATTCCACCCATAACTGTCATCAAATGCTGTTTGTGGGTAACGACATTAAAGGAGAGGTGTCTCAGAAATCATATCACGCTACCCAGCCAGCTGAAGAGGCTCTATCAGAATTCATTTTCTTTTCAAATGTAATTTGAGAAAAGGATGTTATTAAGATTTTTTAAAATTGCTAAACACTGAATTAAACAGCATAAAGAGAGCAACTCTCCCCTTTTTTTTTAAAGCCAGAGTTATGCTATAAATTATAAAACCACTGTAGTTACAGAGAAGCCTCTTTTCCTGGTAGCTGCTTGTCAACACAGGCAGGCACTGAGACAGGCCTTCTCTCTAAACAGTGTTGAGGGTCTGCATATTGCAACTTATGACCCCAGGCACTGGAATGCAGTTGGCTGCTTCTCCACCTGCACAGACTTGCTTTGATAATGAACAAAGTTCTCTCTCTGTGTCAGAAAATGGCACTTACCACTTCACATGGTGCCCTTATAATCAATTCATTACCGTGGAAATACAGTTATCCAAGTTTCAAAGCCGAGTTTTACGTTTTACATGGTCCCACCAAAAGTTTTAATCGTTTTAAAAAGGAAAACTACACGTTGTTTATAACCAGCTCACCGACAATCTGGACTTTTAAGTTCATTTAATGGTTTAAATGGATACCTGTCTGTTTATTGCGTTAACCTCTATAAATGTGGGCCTTTTGCAAGCCCTTGTATTAGTTGTAATCAGCTCACATCAGCAGAAGTAAGAAATCTCTGTGCTGAAATAAACACAAACATCTATTAATCGTTTTACCTGATTCTGAATGAATTCCTCTCAAGCTTGACAGAAAGTGTTATTCCTCACGGAGAGCCCAGGACTGACAGTTTGTGTCTCACACTGTTGGTCGAGCAGGAGGCGGCAGGTGGCCACTCCCTCACCTAAGCTGTCCTGCCGTAAGGTGGGTCCACTTCCTTATTTCAGGAATCTCATATACTAGGAATATGGCGGATTTCCTCTTATTCTTCCCGCAAAGTTTTCAAAATAATCTCTTGTCTTTGTCTGCTGAGTCTCGCAGGAGTCTGTTTGGACTCTTTCAGACGCAGAAATGCCTTGCCAGTTCTAAACCGCTGAAAATATGTCGATTAACCAAGTTCTTTAGTTAGATTTAATTTGGTATATTATTATTATTATTATTTTAATATGCCAGACGTTTACTATACAAACGCATTTATCATTGCCGTGAAGGAATATGATACTTTGTGAGCCTTTAATTTGAATTTTGGTCCTTCATTTACACCTTACCTCACAAAATTTCCCTTCTATTTTCAGTCGTCTTCGTTGAAAAGTGTTCTTGGCGTTGTAATGATGTAATTACATCGTCTGGACAGCAGAGGGCGCTGCAAGCTAACACAAACCTGGAACCAGACTTTAAATGACCATCCTTATATTCATGGATGTTTGAAGGGATTGATGAAAAATGAGCACAAATGGGTTTTTTTTTACGAGTGTCACAAATATTCGCAAGTTGTTCTTTTGTTTCATAAAATATTTACTTACAGAACAGAACAACAAGCATGCAGAGAAAACCAGATACACCAAGCTATCAAATGCAGACTTTAATAAGTAAATATTAAATTGAGAGAATAAAAATAAACTGAAAACAAATGATTCTATTATGAGCATACATGAATATTTTCTCATATAGAGACAGTCAAGCAATTCTGGCTAACTCCCAGTGTGTCCAGATACCAAAAGTGGCATTTAATACAGTGAAGTCTGGTTTTGATTTGAGATTTGCTGATATGAATACAGTTTTACAATATATAAGATAGACAGTCCGAAGTATAGTTTACTGTACTTCAGTCCTAGCACATCTGAACTGAAGTTTCATCATTTTAACTATCCAAGTCCTGTTTATACAAAAACATCTTCACTTCATTTAACATCTATGCATTCTTTTAAAAGTAATGTATTTCACCTTGTTTGTTGTTGTTGTTTGAATTGCACACACATTCCTGATGTAGTTGTTGTGTAGTGTCAGACTGTGGTAGGTAGGACTCCCTTCCGTTTGCACATCACAACCGCTGTGATGTATGACCCACTGGTGGAGGAAGCATTCAGATCCTCTGATTAATAAACAAAAGTGGCAATACAACAGTGTAAAATAATAAAATAATTAACTACAGCAATGCATCATATGTTATGAGTTCATATGTTTTGTAAGTAAAATTAACTAGTAACTACAGCAGTTTCATAAATGTAGTGGAGTAAAAAGTACAATATTTCTCTCTGAAATATAGTGGAGGACAAGTGGAAAGTTGCAAAACATGGAAACACTTAAGTAAAGTACAAGTACTTGAGTAAATTTACTTAGCAACTTTCACCACTGGTATAAACAGGCTCAAAATAAGTTAGCTGAAATACAACGTATCTTCAATGAA